CGTGGATGGGGGATCGGTTTATGAAGCGGATGGCTAAGACGCCGTACAACAATATGCCAAAAGCTTCCTGCAGATTTTGAGGGAAAACTACTAACATTTTAGCGGGTATGTCATCACACTTCGGAAGGAAAAGAATTTTTCAATGGGGCAAATTGGCAACGCTGACGAGACGCCAATTTGGTTTGATATGCCTCGTAACTACACCATTACGGAGAAGGGGACTAAAAAGTTTTATCATCAAAATAGTGAATAAAGACGTTTACTATTAATCACTGATTGTAGAAACTGTTAGCTAGATAGAAATGTTACGATTTATTTCATGTTCATACTTTACGATATGTACCGTATATACGGTAGTGGTAATTAACAATGATGTGTTTCACATAACAATAGCCCACTAATAGGTTAATTCTATGTTCTGCTACTTTATGTATAAATCTATTGTTGTATAAAATATGGTATCTAAATTTAAATAAAATTATCATACCATTGATTGATAGTTTATATACAAATCTATTTTTGTATAAAATAAGATTCAATAAATTCCTCATACCATTGATGTGCATTACATTCGCCGACAAACAATTTTTTTATTATTTAAAGTTTTAAAATGGGGATATGCATTAGATTCGCATAAATACGGTAATTTTCATTAAAATAGTAGTAAAATATTGAAATTATGTTTAAAAAATAACATAAAAATAAAACATTTTTAATTTTTGCTGTCATATTATAAAGTTCCATTTTGGCCGCTTATTACATATTTAGAATCTGCAAGTAAGCAGGTATACGAAACAATTAATGAAACAGTTTTAGCAAAAACAAAATACCTATGTAAATAATTTAAAATGTCTTTTTAAATTTTTTCATGGTAAGAGGTTTTCTAATGTAATTGTCTCAGAGTATTCAGAATTATCAGAATATTGTTTTCTCTATAAAATTAATTTTACACCTTTTCCCTCTGATATTTTTTCTCAAAATATTTCTGGCTTTTTACTGTTACAGAATTTTTCTTTAGGATTTTAGACATTGCAGCTTAGAAAGTTTAGAAGGATTTCAAGGCAAAATTTATAGACCCAAGATTCTAGAAAATTGCAGAAAAATGTCTCCATGCTATTAACATGTAACGAATGTATTTTGCAGAAAGTTTACGATGTATTTCTTACTTTTTGGAGAAGGTCTGGAAGAACAAAGAAAACATAATATTTGAATGTTTTACTTCTGATACTAGAATCTTTTTCTTAACACGTTTATCTTCCCTTTATTTTCTCTAATTTTCACTAGACACAGACATGGAAAATATCAAAAATGCTTTTATTCTCAGGCATTATAGAAATTTTTTTCTTAGTAAAGAAATTGAAAACTGACAATTTAAATGATTCCTATTATATGTCCGAATGCATCATACACAGGGCTGGCGCTAGGCATTTTCCCACCTGATGCAATCTCTGCGGATCCTAAATTCTGCTTCCAATGCCTGCTCTAAAGTCTAAAAGTTTTGCCATTTCTAGATTTTGTTGCTTGGTGTGTCACTAAATTCTAAAAATTCTGCCACACCGTCTCTGTAACCAGCCCTTACCATATATATTTCATATTGCGTCTGAATGTTCATATTACTAAAGATATAAAATTAGCAGCTATTTCTATGCTTTCTAAATTTAGTGTTTTTAGAATAACAGAAATCTTTAATTTAAATTCTAAAATGAAAAGGAAACGTGAAGAAAGATTCTTCAAAGATATGTACTGCTATTAGTATGTACAGTTATTATTATGTAAATTACCCAGTGTTTTATAATTTCAGCCTTACTTATAATTTCCCATTTCTGTTTTCTCACCAGAATGCAATTCGCTTAGATAGTTTTTAAACTTAGGTGTATAGAGTGTAAGACAGAGTGTGTTTCTGTTCTCCACGTACTTGCTGCATTAGTTCTTGTCCAAAATGAGACATAAAAAAATCAACATAAAGCTAACTATTAATTTAGAAGTAAAACAACAATCTTAATAAGTCTAACTGTTAATAAAACGTAAATAAAATGTCGCTTATCTTCTTTCTAATATGTCCAACTATTATAAGTGTAAAATATTTAATGCTACTTGATAAATTTCATAAAGTTTTATTCTATAACTTATTAATAATTATGTTATGTTTCATAGTAATGCATCCTACTTTTATGTTTAGGATGGTATTACAAAAATGAAGTTCAGGCACAGATAGTATTTTTAATTGAATTTGTTCAGTTCTCATTTGCTCATAGGTCCTTAATTTTTTCATTAATGGTCCTTAAAAGTACTTAATTTCCGTGTGCAGAAAAGTGTACGAACCCTGTAATAGGTATTTGATTTATAATTTATTAAACAGTCAAGTTGCATTAGTATGATTCTTTCAGTAAATATTTTTCAAAATGTAATGACAAATAAGAAAGTTGGAGTGATATTATATTAGACTAATGCACATTTTTTTGCAATATAATGACCTGCTAATCGATGAAAATGCTTTGGAAAAGTATTTCTGTAGATGCTACAATTGAAGCAAAATTTAAAAAAAAAAAAAAAAAAAACTTTTGATGAGTCTAATGCTGCTTGCTGAAAGAAGCATTCAACAGACCTGAAGTGTACAACATGATCAGACTTGTAGATGATGAGCAGTGCAGTGCATATGCCCATCACAAACACTAGTTTTTTTTTTTTTTTTTTTTGTACCTAAAAAGCTCTGTTTTTGCAGAAAACAGATAGTGTATTTTATATATGTGAATTGTGTCTGCATATTGTTTATTTGCTTAGAAAATTTTAATTATGTTTCATGTAAGGAGAAAGAACTAAAACCAACATGTATTTAACTCGAGCAACATGCAGCATCAAAACAGTACTCTACTAGCCTTTGAGAGAATGGACATCTTGTGTGCAGAGCTGTATGAATTGTACTGCCATATGATGCGATCTAATACAGCATTAAGATATGTGGCATGTATTTGAAAGCTCCAGTGTTCGAGTCTCGACAACGGCACTGCACGTAATATTTATTACATAAAATTTAAAATTATAATTAATATTAATTACATAAAATTTAAAATTGTAATTAATACATGAAATGAAAGAGCAATTCACAGTTATTCCTGCAAGTGTTCAGTGTGAGCACCTTTCGTCACACGGCACACATCATGTCAATAGCTCAGTTCTTCCTAAATGTTGGTTAGTCTTTATTGTGTAATTGTTACAACAGTTGCCTCAATCCACACGATCCTTTATGAACCCACACATGTAGAAATCACATGGCATCATTTCATGTGCAAAGTTGGCAAGTAAATCATGGTTTGTAGGCTTTAGAGCCTGTACTAACTTGAAATGATAAGGACATAGTTGTGTTTCCGTTAAACTTTCCAAACAGGCATCACCGGAACTGCTAATTCTCGACTAGACTTCCGACCTGATTTCTTCGGGCTATGCATGAAAGAATCTCACTTGCTCAACAACTCTCTTCACTAACCCTTGGTTCCATTTGCAAAGGTAGCTGGTGTTTTCAAACTGATGATACCATCTACGGATGTTATTATCTCTTGAGGGATCACATCTGAACTTAATCCGAAACTCGCATAACTACAGATTCAGTCTTTGAAAACTGCAAATCACCAAAAGCTTTCTATTCACTAGTCACTATTTTTGCTACTAGTGCTTTCAGGCGCATGCATATACAACCAAACAGAACTGATTAAATTGCTCTTTCATTTCATGTTTTAATTATGATTTTAAGTTTTACATAATAAATACTAGAAAGCGTTAAAACGCAATATTAATGTAGAAACACCCTGTATATGAACAAAAATTTACTGCTTAGTGTTAATGAGTTGCATCTTTGCTTGCTTAGTGTTAATAAATAAATGGCAGTTTGTGTGATAAAGGCCTTTTAATTTTTAAAATATACTATTTATGAGGGAATTAAACTTGAGACCACCTCCTCCATTCGACGTTCTGGGAGAGGAAGAGAATTAATATTTAAAATGCCTGTATGTTTGCATAAATAATTTTTATATATTTTTGTTACCAATCAAATTCCTGGTGGTAGAATGAAATGAAATATTTTCCCAGTTTCCTTCATGTTAGAAAAGTAAGCTTTTGAAACTTTCTTATAGTTGACAACTTATGGAAATTTCAAGTTAATTATATATAAATTGCATTATGCATATAAAATGTAGTCAATAAGTTTAACACTTTTTTTCAGACTAGGCATATTCATATTTGTATTACAAAGGGGTCATTCAAAGTATCGGGAATAAATATAAATGTACTCTTCATTTTGCAAAGGCAGCTGGTATTTTCAAACTGATGATACCATCTATGAATGTTATTATCACTTGAGGGATCACATCTGAACTTAATCCGAAATGCACATTACAGAGTAACTACAGATTTGGTCTTTGCAAACTGCAGAACACAAAAAGCTTTCTGTTCATTAGTCACTAGTTTTGCTACTAGTGCTTGCTGGCGCATGTGCATACTAACAAACAGAACTGTTAAAGTTGCTCTTTCATTTCATGTATTAATTACGATTTTAAGTTTTACATAATAAATACTAGAAAATGTTAAAACCCTGATGTTCATTTAGAAACACCCTGTACATTTACTGATGTCACCTTTGCTTGTTTACTGCTAATGAGTAAATGGCAGTTGCCTTTTAATTTTTAAAATATGCTTAAAGCCTATTATAAGGTGATTAAATTTGAGACAACCTCAATTTGACATTCTCGGAAAAGGAAGAGAATTAATATTTAAAATGCTTGTATGTTTACATAAATAAATTTTTATGTATTTTTGTTATCAATCAAATTCCTGGTGGTAGAATGAAATGAAATATTTTTTCAGTTTTCTTCATGTTAGAAAAGTAAACTTTTGAAAGTTTCTCACTGTTAACTACTTATGGAAATCACAAGTTAATTATATCTAAATTGCAATTATGCATTATGCATATAAAAAATGTAGTCAATAAATGTAACTTTTTTTTTCAGGCTAGGCATATTTATATTTGTGAGTATCACAAAGGGGTCATTCAAAGTATCAGAAATAAACGTAAACGAAAAGAAAGTGATGATGATAATGGCTTGAATGATCAAGACATGGATATCCCAGAAGTAAGTATTTTTTTTATTAGTTTTTCTTTTTCATTTCTTCTTTTTTCCCCCCTTAAAAACTTCAATCATAAGGGGTCTAATGGATGAATTATTGTGTCATGAATGAAGAATTGAATCAGAATAATTTATTACATGCTGTTGTTAAATATGGGGGTTGAGATATAATAGTTTGGAGAGGTTTTGTTGCATATCCACTTGTGGTTATTATGTAACTGAAGTTATCAAAATACCTTCATATTCTACGGACTTTAATCCACTCGAACAGAGTCTGAAGTGAATTGGATGTGAGAATGAGGAAACATGTTAACTTTCTTACACAAAACAATTGAATCCATGACAAAGTGCTTGAAAAGTATAGTTAAAGGATATTCAATGAAATATTGAATGTTCTGTTATTTTCATGTGTTTAGTAAAAATTATCATAAAGTTATCTCTTTGTTCAAAATGTCTGAATACTTGTGCAAGTTCATTTTCAGAATCTTTTGAATATCAAGATTTTTTAATCAAAAATGTTTTGAATAAGTTTTTCCAAAACGGATTTTTTTTTGTAAATATAGATCAATAATATATGTGAAGGAAAAATAAAAAATAGTCATTTCGGTAATACTTAGAAACTGATATTTGCAAATAAAACTGAAACACATAAGTGTCCAAAAACAAATGTGACTCGCTGTAGTTTCTTCCTGTTTTGGTTTAGAAAATGCAAATGATAAGATTTCAAAGTATGGACTACTTTACATGGCCTATGTTCCTGTACCCTAATTCCTTGTGCAGTAGCTCATAATCTGATAACTTGTGTTGTAACCTACCATATGCATACAAAGAATTTTCTGCAAATAGATATCTTTTATCTGATGATTCATTCAAAAAGAGGATAAGCCAGAAAAATATGTGCTGAGTATTGTTAATTCTTTTAAATACAGTTGAAATTGTATTTAAAAGGTTTTTATATAGATAGAAAAGCCAAAGATTCAAGTTCTTCAACCATCAAACCATTTATGCACATTTCTACTGAAAGAAAATGTCCACAGATAAGTAGTCTTATTGTTTGTAAGTTTCTATAGTGAAAGCAAAATGTGCATCTTGATCCAAAAGTCTATTTTAAGTGCTTTTTATGGAATCCTTTCTCATATTATATAATCGCATTAAGAGCATTATAAAATATTCTGGCCGTTTCTGTCATTTTAGTGCTTAATAAAAGAAGCCTTCAATGAAACATCATCGAAGTATTCATTCTATGAGTGTAAAAGCAGTGTTAAGTTGTAAAGTAATATAAAAGATTATTTAATTGAAACTTTGGAACTATAATGTCTGATGCACATTTGAGATTTTTTTTAATGTACAGTAATTTTAGTTCTGTGCAATCAACTTAATAATATTGTCAATGAATATAATATAAAGAAATGCAATATAAAATATTTTTTTCATGCATTTTTATGATCACTATATCAATTTTGAAGATCTGCTTTATTCAGGGCAGTGTTTGATTGTGGATAGCAAAAGACTTCATGGGTATGCATTAGCACTCTGCTCAACAATCTGCGCACACTTAGCTTCTTTGCAGCAACCAATACTAGTGCAAGTTCTTCGTCTGCAATTGACATTATGAAACCTCTGCATATCTGCTGTCTTACCCTAATAATCGTATACCTGGTTCGATATTATCATTGTCATGGATGAAGAGTAATGTCTGTACAGCTCATGAAGTAGAAGACCTAGGCCCTTTTGCATGCATTCATTTACGTGCCAGTTTGCATGAAGCCTACATGAATTTGGGTGTAGAAAAAAGAACCACGTGAGCCTCATTTGATATAAAGCATAAAGGAATCATCTGCATAAAGGGATGAGCATTTAATGGAATTCTTGCAACATTATATAAGGACTGCTTTTCTTGGCACCAGCATCAGGGTGTTCTATTAGAAATTATATGATATCGCTGAAAAAAGTCTGCATCACAATGCTATACATTTATAGCAGAAAACTGCAAGACCACATGTAGTTTGAACAACCAGTCAGAAATTTCTAGATTTGCGTTAAGAAGTTTTACTTTTTTTCTTGTATAATACGAAGCATATACTAAGGAACTGTTACGTATTCCACTCAATATGCTACACTCCTGATGAGTGATGTAAGTGAGGCATCCTTTTCATAGTAATCAACTTTTGATGTATAAAATGTGCATTCATGGCATTCTGCTCACATCTCCAGAAATTTTCCTTTGACTTACTTGAAAAAAAAAAAAAAAAAGTGTTTGAAGATTTTGAATGCTGATGTCCTTTCTTAATTTCCTTCTTTGGTTGCAGATTATTGCACATGTTCTGAATACTACTATTATTTTAAATCACATATTGTTTCTTAATTTATGGATTGACACTGCCATCTGTGTTATTGAAGCTTTATCCATGTGTTGCCAATATATGTGAATTTGTTCTGATGCATTTTAAAGTTTATCCCTTGAAAAGTCAACTAATTTCCAATCAATAGTGATAATTACATGTTTTTACTTTTTTTTCCAAAGTTTGAAATTTTGTTATTCATGATTTAAATTCAAGTTCCCTTAAAAAGTTCTCCCCCCCCCATGATTTACATTCAAGTTCTTTTAAAACACAATTTTCTGAATTAAACTTTCTATATATGGATTCCCTCTTTTTGACATATTCTACTAAATTTATATTAGGAGATAATATAATCAATATTTCTTTAGTAAATAAATTATTATTATCTTACTTTGCATCTATTGTTCAAGTATTAGAAAAACTTGTTTTCGAATTCAATGAATTTTAGTTCATTGCATAAACTGTATATAACATGTAAAACTTAAGAATGCACATTTATCTTTTAATTATTAATTAATACCCATCAGAAAAATACTGTTCAATTTCAATTAACTTTAATCAGTGATACTGTTTATAAAAAAATTTTCTGTAATTGTTGATACAGTTATAGCAATTACATACCTACGTCTCTTCTGATGTATAAATGACTCTTGATCAAATGAACTGAAAGTGACATTAAAAAACTTATGCATATTTCTCTATCAACAACTGTGTCAGTTGAGTCAAAAATTAAAAAGAAGTAATCTTTTTTATTAATGCATCAACTGAAGTAATGTCTGAGAGAAAATTTGAGTAATCAAGTGGTTTTTTGGGCATAGTTTCACCATTACTGTCTAACTCTGTTCTGCCCTTCCACCAACCCTTCTGAGAGACTGGCTTGCCAGTATTTTAAATGCCCCTGTGTTACATAGACAGCAGTTTCTTACCTCGGTCCAATAATATGGCAACAGCCAGCGTTGTTAACCGCTATACTGATCAGGGCAGTAATTATTACCAAAGAAAGTTTCTTCGTTCTCGTACTACTGGATACCTTCTGACCATGTTCTAGTTAGATGTGTTATAAATAGATGTGTGATATGCTTTTGAGCAAAAAATTAATCTATAAACCAATGACTGATAACTTATCTAATAAGAAGTGTAGCATCTAGACTATTTAAAAAAATAGGTCTGTCATTTTACAGGACCAATCAAAATCAAATGTAATTAAAAAATAGTTACTTTAATCCTTTAACTATGGGTAAAACTGTACACAACTATGATGCCAAATGGAGGAGGGGGAAATCCAATTTTAACATAATTGTTATGTGTATTTATATATTTAACATCATTTAGACAAAAATAAAACTTCATTTTTAAAATTTTGTGAGAAAAATTTTACAAAATATATCATTAAAAACATACTAAAATGTAATGATCTAACATCTATAAATTGCACAAATAAAAATACTGCAAATAATAAGCTGAAATATTTTTCATTAAAGCCTCTAGGAGTTTTTCACACAAAGGCCTACTTGGCATTCTGGACATTACAGAGGGCGTTTATACATTTTTGTAACGATTTTGCAGACAAACATTAGAATTTCGTTTTCTAATATGTTCAGTCTGATAGCTCTTTTGTTGAACAATCATATTATGTCTTGATTTCCAAGATAAAAGTCCTTTTCTTAAAACATCAAGGTTGATTTTATTCCACTCCTCCTTCAAAATCTTCCTTAGTTCATCCAATGTTTTGGGATTCTGCTTAGCTTGTTTTAAGAGGCCATAAGTACATTAATCCACAGTTAAGAGCCAGATGGACATTAATCCACGGGAGACACATCAGAGGACTTGGGTAGGATGCATTTAAAGGGAATAGCTTCAAATCCAGTTTTATTTCTCATTTTTTAAAAAGTAGAACAGTAGATTTAGAGGTATGACTTAGAGCCTTATTCTGATGGAACTTAATACAGTAAAGGTTGTTTGGATATAGAGATGGAATTTCTTCTTTAAAATTAGGTGTTAAAACATATTTCTGATAGTAATCTGAATTAGTTTTGACATTTTTTTCCCACTTTTCTTATCTTAAGTTTTCCATTATAAGAGAATCCAGTAATAATCATAAAACCTTTAAAAAAACTTTCCTTGTTTTCTCTGAACCAACATATTAAGTCTTTATCTCCTCTTTTTTGGTAGTAAATCGATCTTTTTCTGTTGCAGTCAAATAAGTATATTCAAGCCTTATCAATTGTAACTACAGTCAAAAGTCGTTAATCCGGACTCGTCGGGACTTCGGCGATTCCGGATTATCGATTTTTCCGGATTATAGATCATCAGTTTAAATCGCGTAAGATGGCATGCAGAAATTCTAAAATTAAAAATATGAAACCGTAATTTATGAAATAAAGAACAATTATGATCTAAAGAGTATCAAAATTTACAAAAAAAAAAAAAAGCTTAATATTTATGTTTACTTTATTAAACATTTCTCTCAATGTAAGTTGTTTAAGTTGCTTCATTTTATGTGATAATACTTTCTCTTTAATTCTATAAAAAGACAATTTCTTGTTCAGTTACAAAGTTCCGCTGTTCAAGTCCCGTTAATTGCTGTGCCGAGAATACCGACTAACTTGTCAATCGAAATTTTTTCGTTTTCGCTAACTTCTCTGTCACATTCTTCATGTCTTTATCCATTTTTTGCAGCAATTCCACTTTTTGTTTGTTGGATATCGAAACATACTTTCGTTTTGTAGATCCTTTGGAAGTTCCAGCATCGGAAATTCTATTTGACATAATCGAAAGTTCAAGTTTACTTTTATAAAATTGCTCTTACAGTCTGCAAAAAAATAATACCATAACTGTGAGAACTGTATTGATTTAAATCATCACAATCTCAAATGCATAACTTCAAATTAAAATATCTGCATCTCATTTTGATGGTTGAGTATATAGGCCACCATATTTTCATATATTAGGGAAGTTTTTTATAACCATCCTCTTTGCAGTATCGCTAAACCAGGGGGGATGCATTTTAATTTCTTGTTTTCAGATTACTGTAGCTTTTTAACAAACATATTAAAATAATTCACACCTGCCATAAGTTGTGAGGCTGAAATAACAATTTTATGCCAATTTATTATGCTAAACTTTCACCAAAAACTGCACAATTACAAGTTAAGTAGTATTGTACATTATGCATCTATACATCATTTCTAAACTGATTTTAATAATTTGAATTAGAGGGTATTGTTTCTAGTGTTATTTTCTTACTTAAAATTAACCAGTGTCGTATTTTTATTATTTTAACAAAAACATGCAATAAGCACAAATGCTCCAAAAATTGTTAAAATATTAAGCAGTATTCTTTCTTCTGCAGTTATATTCTGTAATTTAATGTATGCTTCTATCTGTATCTTTTGTAGGTTGATCTCTACCAACTTCAAGTGAGTGCATTGCGAAGGTATAAAAGGCACTACAAAATACAGACTCGACAAGGAGTGAATAAAGCTCAACTTGCTGAAGTAAGGATTTCAGATCTTTTCAGTTAATTTTTTACTTCCGTGTATGAAGTAAAGGAAGTATTGTAATCACGAAAAATTCCGGGTACCATATTTCAACGAAAATATCCATTTTGACGGCTTTTGAATGCAATTCAACGATGCTTTTGCATGACATCTGTACATAAGGGCAGAGTAAAGGACTTTTTTTTCCAAAACGAATTATTAAAATGAATTCAGAAGAGATTTTTTCGTAGCGTCTTTATGTACATGCGTATGTACATATGTATCTCGTATAACTAAAAACAAATAGCCTCAGAATGTTGAAATATTGTATATAGGACTGCTATAGCATGTAGTTATGCACTTCCCTTTTTGGTGGCAATTTATTGCAACAAAAGTATATATACCCACTGTGTTACTCAGTTTTTTAATTCTTATATGTTGGTAAATTGTGCATTTTTTTGCGTTAAAAATGATTGAATTATATTGTTCTTATCTTCCGGTTAAGGTTTTGATGGCTTTAGTTAACTTCCATGCCATAGTTGTAGAATTATCAACAATTTAAAAATTGTTTAAGTGCAGCTAAGCTTAATTTTTTTTTTTTTTCTTTTACCATAGCAGCTATATTTGCTTGCATTTGAAACTTAGTAGAATAAGGAATTTGTTGCCAATCTAGAGAAACTAAGCTTTGCATCAACAAAAATAACATCTTTTATTATTGCGAATTAAATCATGCTTATTCCATTCTGGAATTATAATTTAAGTTATGAAATTATCCCATATATTGACTCGGCATAGCATCCACAACAAATTACATCAGTTTCTTAGCCTTCCAGTGTGATTTTATCGAGTGAGACCAAAAGTAAACTTCCAGTTTTGTGCACTGAAAAATCTGTCTTCTTGCTTGCTGACCGAATTGCTTGTTTTTGTGTAGAAACTCTAATTTTAATTGTAAAAATTTTTCTTTAAATTGTTCTAACTGTATTTATGTTTCATATTTTTCTCAAGATATGTTGAAGTTTCATGTATTTTTGCCTAGTGGCAAAGTGAGGATTGAATTAATTGAATGAGAAATATATCTCTAATGAAATTCGAGGAAATAACTTTAAATGAAATGCAGGAACAAATGTGTATAATTTAATATTCTGCACAAGGAAGTCATGTGGTGTACACATCGGATTTTTTTAATTATCATTAAAAGTTTGTACATTTCAATTTCTTGGACTGTTTTTAGCATGATGCTGTGTTTAACCATGTGTGTGTAATATTATTTAAGGTGGTTTAATTTTTTTCATTTCTGATATGAGCATTTTAGTTTTTAATTAATTTTTAAATTAAAGTGTCGTATTATATAAATATATGCAATTGTATACATATAAATGTATTGCAATAATTTTGTTATTATCTTTGGAAATTTAATCCTCTTGTTTTCGAGATTTCTATAAATTTTATCTCCTTTAGAACATTGTTATTTTATTGTAAACAGTATTTTGTTGTTTTTCAGACTTTGTCAAGGCATTTTAAAACAATTCCTATAAGTGAAAAGGAAGCCATTACGTATTTTATTTATATGGTAAAAAACAACAAGAATAAGCTTGATCAGAAAAATGGAACTGAATCTGCTGGAACTTAAATCTCAGTGCACACTCATTTGAATGTTGTTAATTTTGTTCATATTTTTTCTGTAATAACAATCAATAGCATCATGTTATTGCTTTTATTCGAATTAGTCACTTTATATTTCTTGAGTACATTTGTCAATGTGTTTAGATACTTTTAAATATTAATGCTTTGTTTGTGAATTACAGTATTATGGCAGAGGAGAATATATTGCTGATTCATTAAATATGGAAAACTGTATGGGGTATTGCAACTTTTAAGTAAGAGGAATCTTATCCGTGTACCAATTAAGCAATACTGAGAAATAATGTTCAACCTTTCAACCCACTTCCAATATGCAAAGGGAATCCCAATAAAAGAAACTTGAAAAATTATGAGCCATGATTTTGCTTTTGTATGCTTGTTTTTTGTAAGAATTTGATTCTGACCAAGAAGAAACTGTCATTAATTCGTGCAAATTAAGCATTTGCTTGCAACTGCAAATTGTTATTTTCGTCTTTCAGATACAGTGTATCTCGGTATATGTGATTCATCAGTTCCATGTCCTTTGATATATACCAAACTTTTCTATTAAGAAATGAAGGGAAAATGATTAATCAATTACTATAAAAATTCTATTGTTATTATTATAACACTTATATTAGTATTAACTAAGATACAAATAAGGTGGGTAAAATATATACTGTTCATAAATGGAGTTCTGCACATGATACAGAATTGTTTTTCTGCTAACCAGATCGAAAACAATTTTTCAACATGCTCTTAACATCTCTGTTTTTCATTTGGTAACTGGTTTGACTCCCTTTGGTCCAACATTAGCTGATTGAATAGTGTTCACAATCGTATACACAGTTATACTCAGTGTATGGTATACAATAAAGTCATGAATGCACATGCCATCTTTATACTTTTCAACAATATCTTTTTTCACCTCCATAGTGATCCTAACAATTTTCTTTGTTCTTGACTTTCTTATGAATTTTCCTAAAACTCATTGTTAATGAATTTATAAAAAAATTATGTGAAAAAACCACAGAGTCACTTAAAATTTCAGAGTTATAGCACAGGTTATTTTCTGAAAAGTAGCAACAGGTATACTGATGATAATAATGGAGCCTTGTCTCAAATGAAGTAAACAAGTGTTGTGTGTGTAATTGTGACTCAAACTCGAGCTGGTATTACAAGCGAATGGTGTATACCAAACAAAGATTTTTGCATCCAAACAGGATGTATATCAAGTTGGATGTATTTCAAAGTGGAGGTCAAAGTCTACTACAGTATTTCTGGTGCATATCTGACAAGCTTTTGGCAAATAATAGAAATATTGAAAAATTTTAACAATAATTGAAATAAAATAATTAAAAGGAAATCCAGTATTATTGTTGAAAGAATAAACAATTCGCTAAACTTCCAAACTTATACCAGTTTCAAACCATAAAACAAAACGATTGTTTCTAGTCGTAAAACATTTAGACCATCTGTTCGAGAATTCAAACATTCAACAGCATAGTATTAGTCAAAGACGTGTTAAAAGGCATAAAGATATTTAAGTAAAGTGGAAAACTTTGCATCTTCTGTCCTGTTTCTATTTCTGCATCATCTGTCCTTAAAATATTGTGTACACAGATAAATTAATCCCACTTCAGTGATTGGTTCATCCATACTCATATTCCCTACCAGGAATAGTTAACAGTGCATTAAATGGTAAAAAGAAAAAGAAAAAAAAAAGTGTTTAAATTAAAAAAAATTAATAAATAAATAATAATAAAAAAAAATCACAGAATCAAATAAAAGTCCATATAAGAAAATTGTATGAATTATTGAAAAGCAGACTATTCAAACATGGCCTTAGTTTAGGTATTTTTATTTGTTGATACAGTTGATTTGTAGAAATATTATTTATGTGCTCAAAAAATAATTTAGATCTCTTTGAAAATTAAAACATTTTGTTTGATAATGTCTTATGTATACTCAAATATAAAATCTGTATTTGCAATCTCTGGTGAGTAAAATCTGATGCACAAAAGCTTACAATTAAAATTTTTTCTTTAGTACATTTTGCTTTAAAAAATAGAATTTAGTAGCAATCCATCAGCCTTTTGAATGGCTTTGATAGAGGCCTTTTTTTGGAAAGTGTGTACATTGATAGTTAAAAAAAGTATTTCAATTTATTGCTTTGTGATATTCAACATCAAAAGTGTGTAATATCCAGACTACTTTCTACATTCTTAAAATTGATGAACGTCTTTAAAAAATTGTGTTGAACAAATAATGATTAATGAATATGCTTTTACAGTGCGTAGATATTTCTCTTCATATTTCATGTAAATATATTTGAAGTATAAATTTATTCACAAAATATTCTTTATTTGGTGCATTTTACAAGCTTGAATATTAATAGTTTTCTAATGGCTGGTATACATTTGTTTTTTTTAATGAGAAGTTTTTATAATTTATCAGTTGATTTAAAATTTCATTAATTTTGTTACTGCACCTTCATAAAGATTTGCAAGTATTTTCATTTGCTAATTTAAATAAAGATCTGTTCTAAATAATTCACATCGAAAAGCTTTACGCTTGTATTGTTACAACAGCGAGATGTTTTGTGTGTTAATATAGGTACTAATAGTACAATAGCATTACAAAATAAATTCATCCATAGTCTAAGTACTTATTCTATGAAGCAAATGAAAGACCAAAATAAGAAACATCAACTACTAAGCTATTTTAAAATCTACTACTTTAAAATGAATCGCTATTTTGTATTATATAGTTTGAAAGTGTCTTCTACTCCTATTTTTATATTTACAGCACATACTCACTAAGGAGAGCAGGGTCTATTGTTTTAACTTGAATTGTGAGGGAAAAATTAATCTGTTAGTCACAAGTTAAATATCTGTTGAATTATATCTTTTAAAAGCATCTGTTTCATGTTTGCTTCAAATTTCTAGAAGTGCATAGTCCTTTACCAGGAATACACAATATAAACCTCAAAACAGAAAAATTGTTTGTAGCATAAGAAATAATAATAATTTGCCCTAAATTTATTGGTAAATAATAAATATTTTCTTCCTGCAAAGCGACAGCATGCAATTCGTCCATTTTACTCACGTTGTAGGAGGAAGGAATCATTGTAATCTTCTTTGTCTGTCTGTCTGTCATGTATTGATGTGGTAATTCATCAACATGCAGTGTTTATTCTCTTACAGTGGGGATTAGGAAAAAAGAGTGCAAGTCATTTTGTTTTGAATTTCTGATATTAAAATCAATGATTAAAATAAGTGCATAGCTACAGATTAATGCAGTTAATAAGGCTTTTACTATGAGCTGAAAAATAATTCGTTTATTCTTAGTTTTAAATTTAGAGACATGCAGTGAGATGGCACGCTTGCAATTATCTAGTTTACAAGATTAAACTACTGCAACTGTATAATATTACCAAACGACTTATTTGGTGTTATTGATGTATTGAGGAATGATAAAAGTTGTATGTGGCAATTTTAAAAACGTATTGTATGGTTCTGTTAGTTATTTGAATGTAGCAAAGTTGTATTACTGGTTTTCCTCAAGTATAAAGTAGATATGAGCTAGTTTCCTCCACAGAAAAATCCGACCTCTTAAGCATATGCTGCATTCCTCTGTGGAGGAAACTGGCTTATATCCACCTTGGGGAAAACAAGCCAAGCAGAAAGCCTATTTGCCTTGGTTCGAACCAAAACTATGTCAGACTACCAGTATTCAGTACTCAGCCAATGTTTCATAAGTAAAAATTATTAATATACGAATTATTCATAATTTAGTTACAAATTTAGTGTTATAATCAATTTTTGTTTTGAAGTCCTCATTATTTCCAGTGCCTGAAGTTTTCTAAAAAAAGTTTTAATGGTCGTTTGTTTCATAAATTCCAGTCTCTTAAAAAAAAGAGAGAGATATGATGATGAAAAAATGATGAAACATTGCTTGTAGTTCCTGACAATAGTGTATTCTAAATTAAACCTTATTTCATATATGCTGATACGTGAGCTATAGGAAGCAGAACAAAAAAATTGAACCTTTGTAAACAGTCTCAACATTTTAATTATAACAGGTACTTCCAACATGATTAACTACCACTATTTCCTTTCATCACCTTTTGGGCAATATGGATGAAAATAAAGTTTTACACACGTGCGAACGGGCGGGGCATACATACCTATTAAAGTCTGGTATCACCCGCTTAACTGCGGCTGCAGTTATATTCATAAAATTGGTGTCTAGATATAGTAAAGTGGCTATGCGCTATTTGATGAGATAGCTTATTCCTCCACTTGGTGAAAAACGGCGGAGTTAGCCACGATACGAGATGGGAAGAAAAAGCGAATTGCAAATTTTTAGTGTATCGTCGATTTAGTATCAATAGACACTTTGTGGATATGAATGCTAGAAATAGAATGCTGAAAACGCACATTTGTTTTTTCACGATTTCTGAAACACGTCATGAAACTTGAATGAAGGGAGAAAAAGATTATCTTTCGTATGAAAAACATGCCCGTATCGAGGCACAGTGATGTCGTTTCGACTGTGGTTCAAACCCTGCGGGGTGCATCCTTGTACTGATTGTCTTTACAAACAGAGTAGACAACATACAGATCATGCATAATTGTGTCGCAAAACGCATCAACTCGACGCAACTTGAGCTTGGTGTGCGAATTTGTGTATTCAAATAGTGTATGAAACATCACACCTGTTCACATGAGACAGCTATAAAAGAGATAGCTGCTCATGGTTCTATGTTGAAGCTCATGGTCATGGAGTGATTTTCAAAAATTATTGTTGTGAGATGGTTCTACTAACGGTGAATGTGAGCGCAAGGCACGATCGGCAGTGCGGTTGCATCAGCAATGTTTTCCTGCAGTCCTGCATACAAAATCACCCTACAGGTTATGAGACGTTTAACTGATAACGGCTGCGTGACTATCTGACTTCGATTCGGCAGAGCAGCTAAGGTAGGGCGAAAGTACAACCAGAAGATGTTTCACACGACCTCAAATATCCAAACAGCAGCACAAGAAAGATAAATGAAAACTGTGGGCCTCACAAAAAGTCGCTTTTGGAAAATCCTAAATGAATTAGGTGCTCATTTATGCCGACCAACATCTGACCAGGCATTACTTGAGAGGGATGCTGAGAGACGTTTCGTATGATGCAACTTCATTATGAACCAGATAAAAGTCTAGCCAACATTCTTGGCAGGTACAGTGTGGACGGGATGAGGCATTCTTTTCGCGGAATGAAATGTACAATAAGCTGAACACCCATTACTGGGCACTGGAAATTCCATTATGTTCTGCAGACATATGACATTAAATACGGTTTTCGATTAATATTTGGTGTGAAATTTATGATAACAGTCAATCGGCTCAACATTTTACCAGGATACGTTAACGGCTGCACAATATTTAGAACTTCTGCAAGACATAGTACCCGATGGACAATTCGAAGAACGAATAATCGGGTACGGTGGTTTCGAAGAGTGGCCTCCACGTTTAAACTGGACCTGACTTTAATAGACTTTTTCCTGTGCGGATACCTCAAACAGCAGGTGTAAGCGACCCCTCCACATACATCGCTTGACCTTCAGCGACTTATTACAGATGCTTGTGCAAACGTGTCGCTCATTATGCTAAAACGTGCAATATGAAGGTCCAAGCAATAACAAGGGTCCAGAAAGCATTTCAGCTGATGGAGAGAAGTTTAAAACATCGAAAATAAAGGTAACAAGTGATAACTAGTTGTTTTTTTCCTTTCTAAGATCGTTTCGTGATGTCACAGTTTCGGAAATCGCAAGTAAACAAATGCATGTGTAAAACGTTCTGTTCTTAACATTCATGTCCGCGAGGTGTCTTTTCGGACTAAATCGACGATGCTCTTCAACCTTGTAATTCACTTTTCTTCCTATCTCGTTTCGTTTTCGAGATAGGGACGCTAACTCCGGTATTCCCACCAGGCGGCGCTGAAAGCTATCTCATCTAGTAGCGCATAACCACTTTACTATACCTAGGCACCACTTTTATGAATATAGACGCAACCGTTTGGCAGTTAAACGGGTGGTTAGCTGACTTTAAGAACAAGAAGCAACAAAAGTAATAGTAGCACGACTGCGCCAAACAAGCGCATTTCAGTAATACGATGTACACTGCGGGAGGGGAGATGGGACAGTTCTATATCTCCCGTTCTACTGGGCCGATTGACAAAATTCAAATTGTGTTTTTCATGTATCGAAAGCGCGATTTGGGGTATATATTAGATTTACATATAGCACTATTCTAACATAGGTATTTTGACACAAAATCGGGCTTTTTCTGAAATAAAATACCAATTTTTTTACATATTTTGATACTATGATTCAAATTATGCCAGACTGCCAAGTTTTGTAAAAATTGTATGAGTAGTTTTTAAAAAGTTAGCTCTCAAAATTTTATCTCCTCAGTGTTAATTGAATTTGGCATATATTTATTAATATCTCTTCTTTTATTAAACTTTTTGATTCTTCCTTTCACATTTCGAAATTTAGGTTCATTCCAAATAAAATTCAGCCATTTTTTGTGTTTTATTTTTAAATAATTTTTATAAATTTTTCGAAAACAATTTTGAATTATAACCTATGAAATTTTTACCATCATCTTAAAGTAGGTGTGATTCTAAGCATACTTGCAAAAAATTAGAGATTTTTTATTCAAAATTCTCTAAGATATACACCTATTTACATAGTTTCGCGTATTGAAATTTGGCATCTTTTTTTGAGAGATAATAACGCCAAATGTGGTTTATGTATTTTTGTTACAGTGAATTGCCACAGCTATTTTTAACCTTAAATTTCAAATAAATTTTTACGGAGAATTAATTATATGAAATTTTTTCCCTCAGTGATGCGTAGTAAATATTTATCAATACTATATGAAAAGCTATTTTTTTAATTTATAGATGACATTATTCAAATTTTAAACTTTTTTCAAATTTCTTTCTTTTTTTTTAAATATTTGTAAGAGTAAATTTTTACCTTCACCGTGTTATCGTCTGCTACTTTAATTTGACTGCATTTAAATTGAATTGTCTGAAACTGAGAAAGTTCGTTTGATGTTTATTTTCACAATGTTTTTAAGCAAACAGAGCGTTGACAGTTTGGGTCATGTCCCAGCTTTTAAAATTATGTATACAATGGCTCCCAAAAGTACTTATGATTTTCATTGAAATAGGGCTCTATCCATTAATTAAAAGTAAACTTTCTGAATGAGATTTTAATAATAAGATCTATAATCTATTCGTAACAAAATTACATGAAATATTTCAATGAAAATCATAAGTGTACGAACACTTTTGGGAGCCACTGTATAAGTATAAATTTTTACATTAATTCTCTTCGAAAGAATGTTTTAAGTAGCCAATTTTCTCTCGTGTTATGGATTGTATAAAAAAACATGATCTTTAATATGATTTAGATTGTTTGTAGCCGATATAGTAATCAGGTCACATAGTGGTACAGAATAAACACTGCTGGACTGTTTTATTTCTTTGTCATTTAGCAAAAAATCTTTTAATTAAAATATTTGGACATTGCTTTAAACTTTATTTATAGTTAAAATGCTTAGAAAATGAAAAGCTGTCTTCAACTGAAACGCAGCTGATGTAATTGATATTTTAAAAAAATGACAAGAATGCAAAATTTATGGAACTGCAACAAAATCTTAATTTTCTTGTGGTGAGCACTGAAAATAAATGTAAAAGAAAAGAAGAAAATTAGGGAGATAAGTAAGCAAAAAGTAAGTCTTGCTGCTCTGACCAAAGAATTCGCTTGACTTTCAGAATCTGTTTATAAAAAAATATACACTCCGGACTAATGGAAGCTTCTTTGTTACGAATTAGAAATGATATCTTGAAACCTTCAAACCTCTGTTCATTAACGGAAGAGGGGAGGAAACTGTTGCGGATTAATATGGAATTAAGGCATTTCATTGTTTTAAGCATACAGATTAGCGAAGGCCTTTGTCTTTTAAGGGTTAAAAGGATCAAGGACATATAAATGAAGGAATATTTGTATATCTATTTGCTCATTCGTCAAAATTTTACCCTCTTTACCTGGAACAATAACCACATTATAAACATAGACAATTTAAAATCTTAATAAATTTGTAAACTCGATTAAAATTTGGGTTATAAATCTCTAAAATTCAGACAGGGGTTAATGAAAATAAAACTTGAGTGCTTTTACCCATAAATTCCATCTTCGAAAACATTTATCTGACAGTTAAACAATTAAACTAAAGTCAATCTTAGACTAGCATTTCGGTTTCTACACTGATCAGTATCAAGACTATAGCATGGTAGCCCATGCAAATACCAGCAGTGTAGCATACGTGCATATCAGGGGCTCCAGTAACAACGTCTTGAAGTAGTATAAAATGAGCAAAGAATAGTTTTTCAAACGAGAAATTAGGTTTGCTTCTTTTTATTTCATAGAAGTTCTAAGTATGACTCTTACGGAAAGTAAACCGGTACATGTACATAGTTGATGGTAGAAGAAATATAATGTGTTATTATTTCGGATTATTTCTTCGTGAACTAATATCAGAAATACTAGAAATTCGATCATTGTGATGCCAGTATGGAATCAATGACTTCATGCTTAATACAACCACAGCAAGCACCCTAGCTCAGAATTAGACGTTGAATGGCATAGCAACGAATATCAGGAGTTAGGGGCATGGCCATGAACTATTTTCAAAGGAGTTATTGTTTCGTTTGCATTTAACAGTATAACCCAGATACCTGCAATTACAATGGTGCACTGAATGACGCACATGGACTTATGATGTAATGTGTTTTCAAAGGAATCTTCCGTTTGCATGCAGCACCATGGCCTTGCCTATGTAGTGGTTAAATTTTGGAATCTTGCATTATGTATTGTCTTATGGGCCAAGCACCTGGCTGTATGGTATGAAACTTAATTAAAGTAAGGCATTATGACTGTTACTATCTTCAGAACCTCAGCTAACTACTACTAACAGGACAACTTGCGAATGCACATCACACACGCATATTTCACAAGTGCACATAAGCGAAACCATTGAGGGAGGGGTTTCGAAAATGGACCAATGAGCTTCTAGTGCTCTTTTGGCGCTAAATCATTGAGCCTGTGAGCATATGTTGTTTACGTTTTAATTTGCATTTGTTTCGCAGTTATAAATGTATATGATAATAGTAGAAAATCTCGTAGCGATTTCCTTTTCTGAGTTTAATTAATCTCTGTTATTTCACTTTCATGGTTTTTGTCACGCATTAATATTTAAATTAATCGCTGACATTTCACGTTCGCGAATTTTATCACGCATTAATATGTAAATTAATCGCTGACATTTCACTTTCACGAATTTTTTTCACGCATTAATATTTGTATTGATGTTCATGGCATATTATCGCTCTTTACATCGAGAAAATGATTCAAGCTACAATTAGCCCGAATATTATGCATTTACCAACACCTGTGGATTAAGAGAATTCAAGTGTATAGTTTTTTGGCCTGGAAGTGTTACAATGAATCTAGTGTTTTCTTATTTCAATGCTTGCATTCTGTTGATTTTTAAAGTGTAAGATTCAGAACACATATTGTGTATGCTCTGATTATGTTCATTGTTAAAAGTTAATATGTGAATAAATTGAATATATTCGTTGTGAATAAGATAAATTCATTCATTTTGATGAGTATTTCTTGTGTCGACAGTACATGTAAGAGTGAGCAGCTATTAAATGTGAAATTTAACACACTCAATGTATACGAATCCAAATTAGTAAAGTTCACTTTGAATAAAATTCTGCATTGGTTACTAGAACATCTTTTTCATATAGACTGCAATGAAAAGTCCTGACTTATATTTACATAAAAATTGGTATAAATATTTTTCTCATATGCATAGTTTTATGTAAAGGTAGCATTTGGGCTCAGATGTTTACCACATATTTCTTTCTTCATCTTATTTACCACTTATTAAGTAATATTTCACATGGATATTTTTGCGGAGTATCCAACATTTGTATTTATTTCAAATCCTTTCAACCAGGTAGCGAAATATTCACAATTGCTTATATTTGATCTAAGTTCGCAATGAAAAGTTTCAGAAGAAATCGACGATGTTTTAATTATTTTGTACAGAAAATTGCGTGGAAGAATATTTTCAATCATCTTATTTAAATCTTAAAGCATACGAAAGGTCATGTGACATGACAGAAATATTACTGGATGTTCATTGGTCCATCCTAGAAACCATTCCCTCGGTGGCTACACAGATGTGCACTTGTGAAATATGCCATCACACACAGTATCTAACATTTATGTTCCACCTCACACAGTACCAAATTTCACCGACTGAATATGTCCGATAGAAACTGGCGTGACAGTAACTATGAGCAGCTCTGCCATAGCAGATAAAATTTGCCAAAGAATTGAACTTCATGATACTGGAGCTACCATCCGGAATCTTTTCCATTTTGTGTCAAGTTGTACTGCAGCAGTTTCTGCTGTCTATGGCTGCGACACATGAAGCTGATTCTGCATATTTAAAATGCCTGAGTATATCATTACATTATACTCACTTCATCATTACTTTATAAGGTATTCATAAAATAAATATGTTTCTGTTATCTTTTGTCTTTCATGGTGCTATAATTTTAAAGGTTAGAAATTCAGGAAAATGTCACCGATTTCGAGCGAGTCAATATGCTTTCTAGAAGCTTATAAGAGGTTTCTGTCTGACTGCAAAAGCAGCAAATTATTCAAGGAGTGGGACCTGTTGACTCCCTAAAAAGAAATAGACATTTGTTTCACTCTAAGATCGACTTTTGCTTAATTGATATGGCATGCAACTCATAAATATTATTTATCCTGTTACAGTTTTAGCATTAATCACATACTAATATTATTTTATTAATTAAAATATGAAATGCTATTCTTAGAAGGGACTGGTAACTGGCTATTTTAGGGCCACATTTAATGGGAATACGAAATTTTTTAAAAGTTATGTCGATAAAGTTCTTAAATTATCATTATGTGATTTTGAATATAATTTAATGTATTTGTAGGATCATTAATATTTTTCGAAGAAGAAAACATATGAAGAATGTGCCGGAATTCGAACTCCGGACCTCCCGACTGTCAGTCGGATGCCTCGAAGACAAGCAATAAGAATGGAAAAAAATACCGTACATATAGTGCAATTTTGATTTTTGTAAAATGGTTTGAAACAGACTCTTGCCTAATAAATCCCCCAAATGAGTTATTTCTATATTTATACATTTTTAGATTACATCAAATATAAGACCTGTTGTAAAAAAATATACATCACAGTAATTAAGAACACATTACAAAATTGATATTTTAATACACACATAAAGGAAAATAGCATATTTGAAAAATCAGAAGTATTCTAATCAGTTCATTGTACATGGAACGTTTTATATAACTGCTGTTTTCAGTTTATTTGGCTTTGGTTTGCTTGCCTTTTAAATTGAAAAACAGACACATACACTAAGGACAAACGTTAATCAAGGTTTAGAAATTACTAAACTTCGTTTTCTCTCGAGAATAACTCTTTAGCTTCATATCTGAACAATTAACAATATGCTTTCTCGAGAAGATTTTTCAATGAGAATATCTCAGTTTAAGACCTTAAAATGGTGATGCGTGAACTGGAATAATAAATTATCTTTTTTTAATGGATGCTTCTTCGAAATATAAAATCCTTCTCAAATGGATAAAAATTCAAAATGCTTTTATTATTTTAAATGTGTTTCGAATGACATGAATATGTTTCGAATTCATAGTGCTACGAATGCGTTTCATCGAATTCATAGTACTCTTTTTATTAGTGTCTCTGCATACATAGAATTACTTCAGCATTGTTCCGTTTTGCCAAATGCCTTTATTTACTTATAATTGCGCTAAATAATCACTTCACCCTATCTAAACACTTGATGGCGCTTTTCTTGCATGATTGTTGATCTCTTTTAATCTATGATCACCACTTTTATGTCTATGGTGGGAATTATGATTATGTTGGCTGTCGTTCATTGTAGAATCCTGCGTTGCGGACAATCTTCTCATTATCGCACTATTCTGCATTGAACCACGAAACTGATGATGAAGCTTGTACTTCTGATAAGTCCTTTTCATCAGATATATTACCTTGGAATTAAATGAAAATTAGTGTGAGTATCGAGAAAAGTTACTAATAAAAATAATAGCTATTGATAATATAATATAAAATTACTAATTTCTAGTCAAATTTTGTTTAGTTTTATATCTATATGAATAAGCATCAATACATATATACACACACATACATGCAATAATATCCTTAAGTACGTGTTAAATAGGATCTATGAAAAGCGTGTCAATCGGGGTCTAGGACATATATATGAATTTTAATTCAACAGGATCAACAGCTCAAAAATATTTGTTTAGAACACAAGTCTGTAATAATGAACGTACGTTTCATCATACCAATGCAAAATAGTATTAAAATAAAAGTATCGAATGGGAGTTATTTTGATGTCGATGGCTTTTTAAAATTGAATAAATTCCTTTGCTGGCTCAGGAATGTTTTTGTTACTTAAAATAGCTTCATATCAAGTTCATATTTTTTTTATTTCTTGCCTTAAAATTAAAACGCGTTCTTTACTAGATTCTAGGTTCTACAAAACTTTTAATACCGTCTTCCCCCTTTTATTTGAATTTTTTTAACTACCTATTAAGTTTGCAACTGCCATATGTTTTTCTGGTGGATATGGGTTTGAAGTGTCGGCTTCTTTAGCAGCATTTTGCTTATGCATCTCTGCAAGCTCATACATTGTCAGCTTCTTGATATGTAAGTTCAATATCTTGCTGATATCATCCTTGCCAACTTCCAAATCAGCTTTCTTGTCAAGACTGTCAACTTCTCATGTTATATGGGTAACACGATGAATTTTGGGTTTTCGTCGCTTTTGAAAAAGAACGGACGAATTTTCTTCCAGACGCCATTAAAGCATTTTTGAAAATTTTATTCGAAGATCTTCCAACGATTCTTATAACATTTAAAACATTGAATTGCGCCCGAAAATTTTTTAACTGCTAGTTGATTGTTTTGTTTAGAATTCATACAGTGTTCATATCTGTAAACAAGAGTCTCGTGTAATTAGTCTTGCAGCCGGTCCATCGGGTGAAACGAGCTGGTTATGTATGTTTGGAAGCAAAAAAGTCACAGAAATAAGAAACCGCAAATCTCTTGAGTTCGCGTAAGTCGGAATATTACTGTATAAAATTACTGATTAGAAAGCGGACTTGACTCTTGGCTATGATACAATTCGTGGACATTATCTGATGTTACTGTCAGACAAGTGAAATGTCTCAACAACAGATAAAATGATGAAAATACACAATGAAGAAAAAATGTGAAAGAAATATTCATCTAAATCTTTGTTGTGTAACGGTTTGCATCAGCTAGATCAATATCTGCTTTATCTATATAAAATACTTAACTTAAAATTGTCAAATTTTTTTTCCTCGCCTCGGAGAGGAGGAAAACAGACCGTAATCTGAAACTTCATTTAACGTGAAATCATAGTTCGGATAATGATAAAGCCGCCGCAGTCACCCCAAAGACATAGCCCCACGGCTATGTCTGTCTGGTATATGTATATATACCTTTAGACACCTACACATACTGACAGTTTAAATATTGTATAATAAGTACCTAGCAATGTATTTTTTGCAATGTATTTTTTTCTCTTCAAGCCATCGACAAGGTTGTTATACCGTGACATGTCGAATCAGGGAGTTAATGATACCATTCTGCAGAAACAACTGTCGAAACATTCTACAATATAGACCATCAGTTCTTTTGGAATTAGATGGAGCTAGGTACATCTTCATTTCCATTTCACCGCTCAAATGCTTGCAAAGGTTGATGTTGGAAGAAAACAAGAGACAAATAAAGCGTTAAAGGTCGGTGGAATTCTTCTTGATGAACCTTCTAAGAACTAGAAACAAGTGATATGCTTCATTATTTCACTAAAATATTCCTTTGTCATCAGGCTATTCAGAAGAACAGAAGATCTGTGCGATTGTCTCCGCAGAGTATATCTATCAACGATTGCTTCATATGGACCCGATGAGCAATATACACAATATCGCTGCAATATCGTTGTTGACAGGAAAAGCAAATTGTTTGCTTCAGACACATGTGGCTGATCTCTTCGTTGATTTACATATGTTACAATGCTGTCAATGCAGTATTTTACGATAATCTCTATATGACTGATTTCTTTAACATTGACTAACATATCACATTTATGTAACTTATCACATGTATCACTTGTTAAAAAAAAGTCTGAAATGGATATTGGCTTTGCAGACTACTAGGAAATTAGCCTACTATTGATCGTTGAGAGTGCCAGTTAAGACAGTGGTCTGAAACTCAACTTTTATGCGGGTTTATTGCATGATCTGAAGCTGGCGGGCAGGAATATTTTTTTAAAGGAAATGTTTTTTAACAAAATTTTAAATTTTATTTACTAAATATAAAACATACATAAACAGGAATAATAATGACGCAAAGAAAAAAATTCAGATTTATATTTATTTTTCATCTGAAATCTAAAGTTTCGTATCTGCAAGAAATTTTGTTGATTATACTTTATAATTCAAACGTATTGGCAGTTAAATATTACAATCTCAAGCTGACACTTATTTCAAATAATTCTAATATTTTGAATTAATCCTTAGATAATTTACTTAAAATAAACAAATTAAGAAAATTTCCCCTGGTGGGATAAAACTTGAAAATAAATAATGGCAATGTATTGCTTTTCTGTTAGATATTTAATTTTTCTTCGACGTAAAAAAAAGAGTCTGTAAACAATTATAAACGTATTTATTTTTACTTCCTTGTACGAAGTAAAAAGGAAGTATTGTAATCGCGAAAAGTGTCAGGCAGCATATTTCAACGAAAATATCCATTTTGAACGCTATTGAATGCAATTTAACGATGTTTTTGCGTGATATATGTACGTAGGGACAGAATAAAATACACTTTTCCTCCAAAAAAATTGTAAAACTGCTAAGAAAAAATGAATTCTCAAGAGAATTTTTCCTGGCGTCTGTACGAACGTATGGACGTACGTACGTATCTCGCATAACTCAAAAACGAGTAGCCTCAGAACGTTTAAATTTTATATATAGGACTGCTATACCATGTAGATGTGCACCTCGTATTTTGGTTGCAATCGGCCGCACCAAACCTATATAAATATATTTATATATATATCCACTCTGTTACCCGGCTCAGTAATCACAGTTTCTTTACTCTTATATGTTTGCAAATTGTACATTTTTTGCTTTAAAAATGATGGAATTATGTTGTTCTCATCTTCCGGTTAAGGCTTTTTTGCCTTTAGTAAATCTGCATGTAATATTTTTAGAATTATCAACAATTTTAAAGTTGTTTAAGTGCCGCTAAGCCTAATAATTTTGCCATGTCGGCCATTGCTTGTTTACATTTGAAACAACAGAATAGTAGATTTGTTGCCAATCTAGAGAAAGTAAGCTTCCCAATAACAAAGATAACACCTTCTTTTATTATTGCGAATTAAATCATGCTTAATTCTTTCTGGAATTTTTTCGAGGAAATAAGTGTTTCAGATTTACTTCGTAATTTTTAATACAGATATTTTGAGTTTTTATGTATTTTTGCCTTGTCTCGAAGTGAGAACTGAATTAATTGAATGAGAAATACTCAATCGTCTGTGAAAAACTGTTTCTTTTTTGCTTTGTTTGCTTAATTTCTTTTATACATCGTTCTAGCTTTATTATAGTATTTGAATAGAACATGTGGCAACGATTAGATAATTCTTTAAATGATATAAATTTTGTGCATTCTGAGTTATAATATGAACGAAATGTAATATTGTTAAGTGAACCTAGCGCCAGAATGTCGCTGTGGTAAACAAATAGAGTGAATTTTAAAGAATGCATTTATTCTATTGTGGTTTATGGGCTGTCGGCGAAGTAGATTTAATTCAATCCAAAATAAGTTTAAATGAAATACAGGAAAAAATGCGTATAATTTAATATACCGTACAAGGAAGTCATGTGGTGTATACATCAGATTTTTTACTACAACTTTCAGCTACAACCCTGATGGATTTTGATTTTGATAAAATTACACCTACTATCTTCATCACGAATCTTAAATGTTCATCAGTCAATCTGGTTTTTTTCCTTTATTAACCATCAACAGAGGAAAAAAGAGTTCACCTATAAATATATTTCCAAACAAATCGATTATTCTTACTGCAAAAAATTGTAACTGAGGATTACAGGTCTTTTTTTCAGAAGCACAAATAAAAAATTAATCAAATTTGTATCTTCGAATGAGATAGATAGTGTAAATTAATTAGCTTCATTTGTAGATTTTCTGGGGCGATACTAACGTTTGTTTTTAATGGTAATGAAAATAATGTAAAATTGGACTGAAAATGATTAAAATCTTAAACTTTTTCTTCAAATTCTTATCATAATAATAAATGTTACAATAATGCTAATTAATTTAAGGGAAAGGTATTCGTGAGTCGTGTAAAATTTGTACACGGACGGCAAGTTTTAGAACAAGAAAAATTTAGTTGTACTTCAGCTGTTGTTCCCCTGACATTTAACTTCTTAGTGTAAGTACCATAATATAATTCATAACTTTATTTCGTAAAAAGTGCTAAATTCCTTTTCTGATCAAGTAGAGATTCTTCTTTTCTTCACGTACATGAAATTGATTATTTATTTTCTGTATTTATAGGTGCTGTCATTTATTATCAGTTCCACTTCCTTCCTTTAGAAAACATCTGATATTTGCCTCTTGCCATACATCCATGGCTCATGATAACGCGAACGTCCCATCTCTATTCTCATGATATATTACTCTTTAATATCAATAATATCAATGCGATAGTAGTTCTGAATGGGTAGAGGTCTCAAACTGATACAGAAATAAGCAGCAACTGAAGAAAAATACCTTTTCTCCCTCAATTATAACTCACAAAAGTGCAAAATTTCACGCTTTTTTTAAGCTTTAGGGATCGTATTTGTTTATTATTTTATTTGCTTATTTCTCTACGTGTTTGCTAATTGTCTAAGTAGCAGATCACACTAAATTGTAAAAATATCTAAGCAATGAAACTGATACATTATTTTAAAATACAATAAATCAGCCTCTTACATCACACACACATGCGAACATGTTTATAAATATATTTTTCTGTGCAAAAAAATCAGTAATTAGCAAGCCTGCAATCACAGTAAAGTCACCTTGTAGAGACATTAGGATTTTTCGGAAGCCGAAGAGATGAAAAATTAGCAAACCGCCTTCGCCGGGAATCGAACCACGGACCTCTGGAATACCGGCCCAGCGTGCAGAACCACTACAACACGAAGGCACGCTAGGAAAATAGGAGAAATACCTTATATACTTCTCTTTTTAAAGAACGACTGGGGTTTTTTTTAGGGGACCCAATCGCCAAATCCTGGGTGAGGAGAATCATCATCCAAACCCTTTTTTTAGTTCGGGCGCCACTGTAGAGACATTAAGATTTTTTGGAAGCCGAAGAGATGCAAAATTAGCAAACCGCCTTCGCCGGGAATCGAACCACGTACCTCTGGAATACCGGCCCAGCATGCAGAACCACTACACCACGAAGGCAAGCTAGGAAAGTGAGAGAAATACCTTATAACCTGCTGTTGTAAAGTGTTAGTAAAACATATCAAATTTCAGATACTCTTATGTTTAATAGAAGTTTCTGTTAAATAGTTAAAATAATAAAGATGTTTTACATTTGTGTGCTTATTTAGAATTTTGTTGTAGATTTTAGATTAGTTACGTAATACTATAACTCAACAAATGCCACAGAGAAATCTGAAAACCAGTTAAGAAAAGCATGAAAAAATTTGACGGATTTATTATTCTTTAAAATCAATTTTAATGTGAAAGCTAATTATAATATTTTAATGTCAAAAATATTATCCTACTTACTTCTCCATTCAAGTAACAAAATATAACAGCAACCATAAAACCCTGAAAAAGAGAAAAAATATGCCACACCTACCGATAAAGTTTACATAATTACTGTTAGCTAAGCTTAAAAAAAAAAACAACAACAACAACAACAACAAAAAAAAAAAAAAAAAAAAAAAAAAAAAAAAAACAAAAAAAAAAAAAACAAGGTAATTTGAAAATTAGGAAAATTTAAAGCAAGTTATATTTTCTAAATTTTAAAAACAAAACATACTTATAACATATCTTTCTTATTATGTATTCCAAGTGATCATTGTATAGTTTATTGCAGGGTTTCTTAGTCTGTGACCCTCGACCTCGTGGTCCTCCAAAATTTCCAAAAAGTAAACAATGAAATTCACATTAACTGTGTATGCCACATTCTAGCTGAAAGCTTCAAAATCTGAAAATGACATATGACAATCATCTATCAGTTTTTCTCCCAAGTTTGGCCACTTTATGAAATTTATTTCACGTTACCATACTTATGTTCTCTCCACTCTAGCCTTAGCAACAAAAGAGCGATTTGAAGCACTGTAACTGTGGTGCTTCTCGCCATCCTTTCGCTGAACATTTAGCGAAGCATCTGTAACCCAGTCGGATATCATCCTAGTTGATCCCAATGCATCGAAGTACCGAACCTTCTTTTCATGTGTTTACGATTTTTGATGTGTTTCATGTTATAGTTTTGGAGATGGACTAAACTGTCACGTACACCAATAAACTGCATATTTACTCTTTGAAAATCGAGCATGTTTCTGCATTAAATTTTTCATTTGTGTTTTTCAAGATTACGATGGGAGAAGTTTTAGACTCTGCCCGTTTTAAAATCCAGGGAAATCAGATTCAGAAATTCATATTGGAATACTTTCCTGTTACTATTTTTGCAGCCACAGGTAACTTATAAGAAATTATACGCTTTGTGGATTTCCCGCTTGTCTGTCAGTGCAGTAATTGTGTAGATATTTGAAATCTTTCTTATATAATATAAGTTAGTCGCTATTCCTGTTACATAGTTCCCTTATACGTAATGCAAAACTGCCTTCGGACCGGAGCTTTGAAAAGAAAGAAGCGTGTTATATTCTTAATTCAGGCAGTGTTAATAGTACAGAGTCTAGTGTAATTATGATATTAACATCAGTGATGCTAATGCCAAAGGCACATCTAGAGATTTTGGTAGTTTTTCGAAGAAAAAGTACATTCGTAAAGTATGAGAAGAGTTATTTGGAATTTAGATTTATGTTGTTTTCAGAGTTTTGCTCTCCTCTTTTAATCCATGGAAGCCAAACTCCCATAAGAAGTTCTCTGCAAAGTCCTTTCTTCATTTAATAAAGCTTTAAGTGCTTTTCTGTAATTTCTAACTACCACACTTTTAAGTTTCGTAAGTGCTTTCAAGTGCTGAAGAAAATGCAAGATTTGATAGTAATCAAAAATATAAAATTTTAAATGTAAACTTATGGATAATATTTTACTTGTTGTAAATATTATCCATAAGTTACGAATAGTTTTTTATTAATTTTTTTGGACATGTTCAAATGTGTTTGACTTAACCTACTTAAGTAACACTGTATAAATTGTGGATTCTCCTCAAAAGTTGTATTTATAATAACACTGGAAATAAAATAATGGAGAAAGATTAAAACAATCAGTCAACTAACATCATCAGCTCTTGTTTAAATCATTGTTTTTAGCATCACATCCAGTTCATTGTTTGCAGAAATACATAAATGATTTTCAATAAAAAAATAATATTTTGTTTATTTGGTGAGCAAGAGTAGAATTTATACTACTAATTGGATGAAAAGGATACCTGTAATCCATCCATGGCATAGTTAAAATACGCATAAGCTTCCTTAAAACCACACTTGTCTGACTCTGGTCTGTAAATCGCGAGGCAGAAGTGCAAACCAAAAAGTGGAACGAGCACCAGGGTTGCACGAACGGCTTTCCTGCACAAAGAAAATTATATCAATGTCATTCGATTTCTGTTTCATTATATTAACAACTGGATTATTATTTTATGAAGGATTTATGCTGTCGATTCTTCAACCAGAACATCCAAAACTCATTCCCCGTACATGTCGTTTCGTTAAAAAATGCATTCATGTCTCAATATCTGCCGTTTCATATATCTGTGGCTTACTGCAAGCTAGTAGCTTGAATCTTGGAACAGAAATATTAATTAATATCTAGCCTGAACGGTTTTTTTTTTTTGAAAACCCACCGTTCAGGCTAGATATTACACTGAGTCGGTGGGTTTTTTGAAACAGGACTATGTGAAAAATGAGCAATGCCCTAAGCCGGGAGTCGAATCTGGACCTTTCAAATACGGGCAGTTCGAATACGCGCCGAGTGTGCTACCGTTACACCATAAAGGCGTGCTGGAAGGAGAGAGGAAATACCTTATAACTTTATCGGAAATATAGGGAAATTTATTTGGAGAAAAATATCATTAATATTCGTGTATGCTTCTACATTTTAAGAAGGTATAACTGAATGCATTTTTATTGGACTTCCTTTCAAGCGGAAGCTTTCATGAAATAAATCAGATGTCGAATTTAGAACCGTTTTAATACGAGTAGAATAGTGATGAATAGGTTTTAAGTTTGAAATAAATATATTATGTCACTATACATTGTAAAGAGAACTGCTGAAAGGAGTGTTAAACTTGAAACTTCATTTCAAATAAAATTCACATGCCTGACATTACATTATCTGCCAAGATGGCGCTAATGATGTAACAGAGATTAGAAGTACAACATTGGCAACTGTATACCAAAATGATCATGAGGCATTGAAACTGGAGAGATATGATGGAACACAGAATTTCTGTTGTCAATAATGGTAGAATGGCGAAAACAACTGTTAGTAGCAGAAAACATCCAGAAAAGAAAACCTTCTAGAGCAGTGTTTCTTAACCTGTGGTTCATGGACTTCTTGGGGGTCCATGGGTCATATTTTGGGGGTCCGCCGATTGCTCCTAATTTTTAAAATGTTTGCATCAATATTTAAATTTTTTTTTTTTTTTTTTTTTTTTTTGTCACGGGCAATCTCTGTAAGCCGTCTGTCTGCCGTTTCCCAATAATAGAGACCTCCACAATACGAGGAAAAGAACATTCGCAAACCATATAAAATTTGAAATTTTTAGAAACACAAAGTAGCCTTTGAATTTTACTTCACTTGGAAATAAAGTGACGTTAAAATCAGTTCCGCAAAGTTCTTGCAAATTTTTAAAATGAAATATTTGTTTTACTTTTTCATAAGTTTTAATTAAAGTATTTTTTTCAAGTGTTTTTTTGTGTCTTAATATTTGGTCTTAATGTTTCATTTGATTATTTGATTTTTTTGGTAGCCCAAAATGTCCAAAAAAAAGGAAGTATTGATGAAAATTATGTAAAATATGGATTCTGCTGCATGAAGGAATCGGAAAGCCACAATGAATGCATGAAAGATTGAAAAGCCACAATGCTTTCTGTATGGAAAAGTTTTGGCAAACGCCAGTATGAAAAACCGGCAAAATTGATAGAGCATCTCAAATCTCTTCATCCTGAAAATGCATCTAAAGATCTAGAATTTTTTACAAAGGAAGAAAGCCCAGTTTTCGAAATCTGGAACATTAACCAAACTTGGATTTGGTATTTCACAAAAACCTTTGGTTGAGGCATCTTTCAGAGTTGCATATCGTATTGCCAAAAGTAAGAAACCGCATACTATTGGAGAGACATTAATTAAGCCATGTGCGCTGGAAATAGGTTGAATTAGTTTGTGGACTGGAACAGAGAAAAAAACTTGAGGCTATTCCATTGTCCAAGGATGTGATACATTCAAGAATAGTTGAAATTTCTTGCAATATCTTGAAACAGATCATCGATGAATTGAAAGCATCGCCATTTCCCTTTAGTATGCAACTGGATTGAAAATTACAGACATCTCGAATTGTAGTCAAATTCTTCTTGTTTTTGTTCGTTACGTGTCTGCTGATACTATCAAAGAAGAATTCTTATTTTGTGAGCCTCTTTTGCAAACTACAAAGGCAGTTGATGTTTTAGCGATTTTAAATGTTTTCCTTTTCCAAACACGACTTCGACTGGAAACAAAAACTTCATTCACTTTGTACGGATGGAGCACCTGCGATGCTTGGCAATAAATCTGGTTTTGCCCATTTTGGTAAAAAAAGAGGCTCCTAATGTTATTGTTACACATTGTTTTTTACATAGACATGCACTGGCTACAAAAACTCTTCCAACCAGCGTAAAAGAAGTATTGTCAATAGTTATTAAAACTGTGAATTTTATTAGAAGTAGAGCTCTTAATCATCGTCTTTTTAAAACACTGTGTCAAGAAATGAACGCAGAACATGAGGTACTTCTTTACCACACGGAAGTGCGCTGGCTGTCATGAGGGCAGGTTTTGAAACGAATTTTCATGCTGAAGACAGAAGTATCACTTTTTTTAGAAGAAAACGATAACTCACTCTTCGAATATTTCAAGAAAGAAAGATTTTATATGTAAATTGGCTTACCTGGCAGACATTTTTAATCACATGAACGATATATGTCTTTCAATTCAAGGGCCTGCTATAACAATTATGGATGCCACTGAGAAACTACAGGCATTCTTATTGAAAATGTCACTTTAGAAAATTAGAATTCAAAATGGGATATGTGCAAACTTTCAAATGTTGGGCGAAGTGCTTTTTGAAAATGGATCTCGGAAAGATAGTTTGTTATTGAATAACTTGAAAAATGAAATCTGTGAACACCTGGAAGTACTTCAAGTTTCATTTGAAAAATATTTCAATTCGGATGGAATAAATATAAAAGATGAGTTGTGGATTCGTAATCCTTTTCTTTGGGATATTGACTGTATCGATGACATGAACCTTGCCAAATATGAGCTAATTGATTTGAAAACAAAGTCCTTGTTAAAAATGGATTTGGATTCAAAAACTCTTGGAGAGTTTTGGTCTTCTTTAAGAGAAGCCTATCCATTGCTTGTAAAACGTTCTATGGCAGCCATTATTCCGTTTGCTACAGTATATCTTTGCGAAGCGGGATTTTCCACACTTGTCACAATAAAAACATGTAGGGTTTATATTTATTTTAACTAACATTTATTTTAAGTTTAAACTATCTTTCCTGTCAAGCCTTACTTTCCCCTGGAACTGCCAATGCCAGAATATGTAAATTTGAGTAGAACGCGCAAGCATTCAAATTATCAGCGGAAGTATTCTGATTTAAATAGGAAGGAAACAAGTTCGGTGAGATATTCTTACTTAGCGAGCGCGGAGGTAGTTAGCGAGAATTGAAGAACCCCGCGTTGCGGCCTATGTGCTTGGCGGGACGGAAGTAGTGGTAATTGTTCCAGTGAGCTTCAAGTCTGCTGAATTAGCAGCGGTATTGTAAAACGCGGTGAGTTAGTTATTTTAGAGAGCCTCTCGTAGTTAGAATCTTGTCTTTACTTTCTTTTCAGGTTATTATTTTTATTTGACTGCCAAGTTGGCACAGTCTGTAAGCGTCAAGAGGACGCAATTGTAATTTATTACGTTGAATAAAAAGGGACTTTTAAACCTTCACAAGACCTATCTTTTATACAAGTTTTCACAGTCACCTCTTGGTTGCGTGCAAGTTGGAGGCGCGCAACGTTATATTGGCGCCCGAACACTTATCGAACTGAAATGGCCGAAAACTGGATGGAAGCCGCTGGACAACACCAAGAAATGACAACTCAGTTAGAAGGATTTGGATACCTGGTCCAGACTTTGAGAGCATCAATCAAGCCAAACGTCCATTTCGACGGAAAAAAATTCGGTGGCGGTATTTTTAGAAGGTCTAGAAAACCACTTTCAGCTCTACCCTGTGCCTGAAAGACAAAAAGTTGCCATCGCCACATCAGCACTAAGAGGACAGGCCGCGCTATGGTGGAAAAATATAGGCAAGGAAATTTCTTCTAGGTGAATTTGGAAGCCCGACGTATACATTTGAAAATTTCAAAAAAATCGTTAGTAAAGGCCTTCCCCATAGTGAAAGATCGCGCACGGCTGGAAGCCGAGCTATATAGTTTCTATCAACGGGATACAGCAGAATTGACGGACTTTATTTTACGAAAAATCAAGCTAACGGATATGCTGTATGGGAAAAAAACCCGATGCGGAGATTAATTGAAATAATATTACCAAGATTGTTACCCGCTGTCCAAGACTACTTTGAAATTAGAAACCCAAGAACATTGCAGGAACTCTTCGAATTGGCGGTGAAGTTTCAAAATCGCAGAATAGCGGAAAAAGCGAGAGGGGAAAATCATATTCTCAAAGTACCCGAAGGAAGGAGGAAACCAGAAATGGAAATCGCTCTATGGGGGAAAGAACTATCAAGCTAACGCATCGAAACTCGAAGGTCAAGGCCCAAAAAAGAAAATTTGAAAATAAACATCCGCGTACCCAGAAGACACAGATTGAAAGGAAAGCTTTTAAACGACTAGAGGGGCCTGTGAAAGGGAGGGTCCAGACCCCGGAAGTTTTAAAAAAACCCTCAAATAGACATTTAAACACGGTCATCGTAAAAAAACTCACAGCTACCAATTATACAAGTCCTGGTTGGCGATGTACCAGTAGAAGCCCTCATCGATACAGGAGCAGAAGGAAATTTTATGAGTGAAAAGTTCTTCAAAAAGAATTTTTATAGGATACGACTATTTAAAACCAGAAATAAAACGGAAATTATAGCGGCGCAAGGAAAAACATGTCACTGCATCGGGAAATTATCATTAAACTTACAGGTAAAAGAGGAAAATCTCAAAGTATTAATTTTTGTGGTGAAAGACCTCAACACTCTCTTATTTTAGGTATGGACTTTTTAAGGGCCGCGAGGGCCAAATTAAATTTTCAAGATAGTTCCGTGGTGCTGGAGATGGACCAGAGGGTGGTGGAACCTGTGGAGACACCTGAATT